TCCACAGATGTACTCATATTNGGTTGAAAAATATTAACTTCCGGTTTAATAGCCATTCAAAAATTAACATTTTTGACAACTTTGGACAGCTGTATGACCTTTTCTAATAAACACAGAAAATTATTTTTTTCAATTTTGTAATTCCCTTTTGATTATCTTTTCAATGATATATGACAATAATCCATTAAAATATGTTTTTAAAATATTGGGTTTTTTTCGACTGAGGGTTCTAACTTACAATGTAATTAACTCCTAGCAATATGGTTTGTATATTCGAGATCTACTCAATTTTCTCTTTTCAACGATATTTGACATGGGTGGTTTAATACAAAATTGAATTTATGAAAATAGGCATAAAAGTGTTAAATGTTTATAAAAAATGTGATAAAAATCTGAAGATTGTGGGGATTAAAATGATTGACAGGTGTTATAACAGGTTATATAATATGATAGGAAAGCTATCCATATGAACTTTTGACATGCAGGTGTGAAGTAGTTTGGGTCATAAACAGATTAATCTGATTATGTAATCTTTTAACACTTAAAAAAATAACTTTTTTTAATTTTCACTTACAATAATTTAACATACACTCATATAGAGTAGTGAATTTTTGATACATGAACCTGTTCGAATTTTTTCTGTACCATTAATAGAACTCTATCTGCAAGATACACACAACAGTTTTGGTTATTGGTGTTAGTTAGGCCGAGGGAATAAAAGCAAACAGCGGGCTGTCTCTAGCAAACACTGACCGTGGAATCAGAATACAGAGCGGGATTCTAACCCACAGCACTTAATCTGCTAGCAGGTACCAATTCAACTGGCTTCCGACTGCGCTAATCCTTAGCAATAAAAAGAAAGTGGCAATTTTATCTTCTGCTAAGATTATTATAGGTCATAAATAAATTAATCTAATTACACTATCTTTCAACTCTATAATAATTCACAGTTTTTTTTAATGTTTTGCAAAATTTTCCCTTATGATAATAAAACATACACTTATTTAGAGCAGTGACTTTTTGATACATTAACCAGTTCGAATTTTGTCTGTTTGTCTGTACCATTGATAGAACTCTATCTGCAAGATACATTATACAGCAATTTTTGGTTATTGGTGTTATGCTGAGGGGATGAAAGCAAACAACATTTTTTGTCGTCTGTTAAGCTTATTATAGGTCATAAATAAATTAGTCTGACTACATAATCTTTTAGCTCTATAATAATTCACATGTTTTTTCGAGTTGTGCTATATTTTCACTTACAATATTTAAACAAACGCTCATTTAGAGCAGTGATGATGATTATAATTCTAGAATGATTGATGAAAAATTCCCTAATTCTGTGTCCATCAGTGCTCTAGATTATTCAAAAGATGTTAGAACCGGTAAAATGACGCTTAAAACCACATGTGTTAAAGTGACTGATACACCATTAGTGTCTTGCTTAAAAATACGTCTAGGGTCAAAAGTTCTGTTAGTAATTAATTTAAATGTTTCTACTGGCTTGATAAATGGAAGTTTTGGTCAAGTAACATTCATTCAAACTGATCAGAATAATCAAACTGACAAAATTTTTGTAAAATTTGATAATGCTAAAGTTGGAATAAATGAAGACAGTGTTCCACTTCCGCCAAATGTACCACGTGGTAGTATTGTTATTGAGAGATATAAAAGCCCTCATGTTAACTATAAGGGCGATGTTAGACGCCAGTTCCCATTACATCTCGCCTATGCAGTTACTATTCACAAAGTACAAGGTCTAAGTCTCGAAAAATAAAATATTCCAAGCTGGTCAAGCCTATGTTGCGTTAAGCAGAGTTAAACATTACAGGGTCTTACAATACAAGATTTTACGGAAAAAACATATATTGTGATGAAAAAATTGTATCGGCATTAGGAGCAATGGATACTTTTTTAAAACCCGAAAACGAGACCATATCAACTGATACTAATATAATATTTTACACAATGTTCAGGGTTTATCTTTTTATATAGAGGATTTACAGAAACACGGGACAATGCTACAAGGTGATATCATTTGTTTAACAGAAACATGGCTAAAAAATTCAATAACTCCAGCAAAACTAAAGTTAAATGGTTTCCGTCTTCACCTAATAATGTTCACATTTCACACATACCTGTATATTATAGCTACCATGAAGCTATTAAAATAACCATACGATA